TCTCTACTCTTCACATCAGGTTTTATTTTATGTAATATCAAATATCAAACTAATTAGTGTTTGCAGATATCTAATCCTTATGAATAAAGAATAAAAACTTTTTCCACTGTGCTTCAAGTTAGTTATAATCTCTAATTATCTGATCTTTTTCCCGTCTGCATAAGAGTAGCCTTCAAACAAAGATGAGATGATTTATTTATTGTTCTTTAAACAGGTAAAACACACTGAGACTGATGATGTATTTTTATAAAGAAGTGACCTGTTCTACAGGTTTTTGGTCTGTGAGGAAAACTGGTCCAAACCAGGGTCTGAACCCAGGACCTTCTGGCTGTGAGACATCAGTGCTGACCACTGATCCATCGTGCTGCCAGATGGTCAGAAATAATAGTCCTTAAACTCACCTGCACGTGTATCAAAATAAAACCAATAATCTGTAAATCTTTAGCACATTTGATATGGAAACACATTTAGATTTAACCATTTAAAACATATTTAATGTCAAAATATGCAGGTTTAATTCATATTACTTTCATCTATTTCTCTTTTAATTGTGGGCTTTGTGTTTATTATCTAACTTTTAATTATAAMAATATAACAGGTTTGTATTGTTTGGRCCTGGAAAGTGGTTATATTGATACTAACAGTTTGTTCAAACTGTGCAGCTCACCTGTTGCCCTCATGGACCCTGGTTCTGGTTCTGGTTCTGGTTCTGGTTCTGACACTAAATTACTTTTTAAATAAGGACATGAAGCCTTCTGACCATCAGCTCAGTTAAATGTACTGAACCATCAGACTCCACATCATCCTCATCATTTTATTAACTCTAATAATATTCAGTCATGAGGGATCCTACCTGCTCTCTGGACCTGTGGACTCTGGACCAGGATGCTTCTGGATCTTGTCCTGATGATCTCAGTGATCCAGGTAGAAAAAATCAGCAGGTCCTCTGGATAGTTCTTCTTTAGTGAAACGTTTCGTCTCTCCTCCAAGAGACTTCTTCATTCTAATGAGTTGAACTCAGACTT